TCACTCCCCAGGTGACCGCAATGGCTGGAGCTGAGCCGATCTGAAGCCAGGATCCAGGAACTTCTTCAGATCTCCCATGTGAGTGCAGGGTCCTAAGGCTTTGGGCCATCCTCGACTGCTTTCCCAGGCCACAAGCAGGGAGCTGGATGGGAAGCGGGGCTGCTAGGATTGGTATCTATGCCCATGTGGAATTCTGGCGCATTCAAGGTTAGGACTTTAGCCACTAGACCACTGTGCCATGCCCCTGTAGTTCTTATTCCTTCTTTACTCTCTTTTAAAAAAGACTTATTTGTTTGAAGATCAGAGTTACAGAGAGAGAGAGAGGAGACACAAGACACAGGTGAGAGATCTTCCATCAGTTGGTTTGCTCCACAGACAAATGCAATGACCATTGCTGGGCCACGCCAAAGCCAGGATCCAGGAGCCTCTTCCAGGTTTCCTATGTGGACAGCAGGGTCTAAAAACACTTCAGCCATTCTCTGCTGCTTTCCCCAGGCCATTAGAAGGGAGCTGGATTGAAGCACAGCGGCTGGGACAAGAACTATATTTATCCATATGGGCTGGTGGCACTGCTTTACATGATATAGCACAGAGCTGGCCCATTCTGTTTCTTTCCTTCTTTCTTTCTTTCAAGGTGTATTTATTTTCATCGAAAGGTAGTTTTTACAGAGAGAAGGGAATATATAGAGAAAGATCTTCTATCTGCTGGTTCAATCCCCAAGTGGTTACAATGGCCAGAGCTGAGCAGATCTGAAGCTAGGAGATTCCTCTAGGTCACCAACGTGGGTGCAGGATCCCAACACCTTGGGCCATCCTCCAACTGCTTTCCCAGGCCATAAACAGGGAGCTGGATAGGAAGTGGAGCAGCTGGGACACGAACCAGAACCCACATGGGTTCCCGGCATGTGCAAGGCAGAGATTTAGCCACTAGGCCATCGTGCTGGGCCCTCTCATTATTTTTTCTAGGAATGATACTAATTTCCCTCTCTCAAACTTGAATTTCTTACAATCTATCCTTCACAAAGCTAGAGGGATTTTCCCTTACCCTTCCTTCTTTTCTTCCTCCCTTTTTACCTCTCCCTCTCTCTTTCTTTAGGAATTATTTGAAAGTGAGAATGACAGGGAGAGGGAAGAGATTGACATCCTCCAACCATTAGTTCATTTCCAAATGCCCACAAGGATAAGAGTTGGTGCAGGGGGAAAGCGGGAGTTCAGAATCCATCTGGGCCTCTCACAGAGTGGCAGGGGCCCTAGTTCTCGGACCATCCTTAACTGTTTCTCGGGTGCATTAGATGGGAGTTGGATTGGAAACAGAGCAGCCAGGACTTGTGCCAGCACTTTGGTATGGGATGTCCGTATTGCAAGTAGTGGTTTAACCACGTGCAACACTGTGCCCCTCATTTAGGAAAATCACCTATTTGGACAACAGATCACTAGTACCCTGAGGGGGATTTTTCTATAACCAAATATGATATTAACACTTTTCTAGAAAAAACAGTTACTAAGAAATGTTTAATCTGCTGGCTTGCCATACAAATCCTTTCTTAGGAGATGATAAAGAGGTAAAATATTTTTCTCAGTTTGATATATAATGGCAAATTTCTTGAGAACTGGTCTTCATCATACCTTGCTTCTGACGCTCTGCACAGTGGCTTGCTGAATGATGCAATAAAGCAAACCTGGCTTTGGAGATGAATGCTTCCGTGTCAGCAGTCAGTAAGATACTTCATTACCTTGAGTCTCACTATACTACTGCGCTGAACGTGAATAATAACGAAGTCATAGAGTTGTGCAGAGCAGCACGAGTCTTATAGAAATCCTTTGCACGCAATAAAAGACCATACAGGATTAGATCTTATTATGTTAAATACTGAGCTTTGAAATGTCTCAAAAGGGGCCCAGCATGATACCGTAGTTGCTAAAGTCCTCATCTGGCATGCCACAGGATCCCATATGGGCACCATTTCTAATCTCGCCAGCCCCCCTTCCCATCCAGCTCCCTGTCTGTGGTCTGGGAAAGCAGTTGAAGATGGCACAAAACCTTGGGACCCTGCACCTGCATGGGAGATCCAGAAGAAGATCTGGGCTCCTGGCTTTGGATTGGCTCAGTTCTAGCCATTGTGGTCACTTGGGGAGTGAACTAATGGATGGAAGATCTTCCTGTCTGTCTCTTCTCCTCCCTGTACAATAAAAACAAATAGATATTTAAACAAAACAAAACAAAAAAGAAATGTCTCAAAAACATTATGATCTGATTTTATTTAACATATATCTTTGCTTTTGAAGCAATCTGTAGAAGGTGATAATAGTATTAATAGGTTTTTGATGTTCCTGGGAAATAGAAATGAAAAAGGACAGTTTTGGCCTATTCATTCCAAACACTTTTTTTTTTTTTTTAAATAATGAGTTACAAAGAGAAAAGAGACAGGAGAGAAATAGTTCACCTGTTGGATCATTCCCCAAGTGGTTGAGATGGCCAGAGCTGGGCCGGTCTGAGGCCGTAAGCTAGGAGCTTCTTTGGGGTCTTCCATGTGGTTGCAGACTTCCAAGTACTTGGGCTGTGCTCTGCTACTCTCCCAGGCCACTAGCAAGAAAGCAGAACAGTCATGGGGCATCTGGGGTCTGAACTGGTACCCACGTGGGATGCCAAAGTCTCCAAATATATATATTTTTTCTAATTCTTCAGGTTGAAGATTGCACTTTTTCACTTTTTCTCCTAAACAAAACAGTTTCAACAACACCAATGATCAGTTGATAAAAAAAAAAAAGGTTTATTTGCTTATTTGATAGGCAGCATTACACAGAGAGGGAGAGATATCTTCTACCTGCTGGCTCATTATGCAAGTGGACAAAACAAGTGGGGCTGTGCCAGGCCCAAGCCTGGAGCCAAGATCATCATGTGGGGTCCAGGATCCCAAACACCTGGGTCATCCTCCACTGCTTCCCCAAGTGCATTAACAGGAAGCTGAACGGCGAGTGGAACAGCCGAGTCTCCAACTGGCACCCACATGGGATGGCAGCATCACAGGCACTGGTTTCACCCTCTGTGGTACAACATCGGCCCCAGGAAGCTGATCGTCTTCAATAACAACGAGATCATGTGCAAGTCAGAAAGAAAGAAAAACTAGTATTACCTTATCTTCAAGCATCCATAGGGACTTTCCAAGGGGACTTTATTAATGAGTTTTCAGAGTAGCAGGAAGGGCACTGTTATCAGATAGGAAGATAAGGCTAGAAAATGTGAGATGAGAAAGAAGCTAAGGGAGGAATCTAGGTTTACTTAGGAACTGACCTTTTCCCTGTAGGCATGTCCTCCACAGGATTCCTGAGGTTGAAGTGTGCTTTTCAAGAGAACACCTTACAGTCTTGCATGGACGGATATCAGGTCCTCATTATGAGCCCTTGAAATTAGTGTGACTCCATTGTCTTGTGAAATGCAAAAAAGAACATTTATCATTCCTCAACTTGCAGTTTCCCTAGCACTGACTGGCTCTGTGTCAGGACATTGAGATGCCTGGAAATGGCTACAAAATTCACACCACTCTCCAGAGCAGCCCTTCTTTCCAGGGTCTCACCTCTATTATTTTACAGTTATATTTACTATTTTACTTTGTATTTTGTCTCGCATTACCTCTAAGTAGTCAGTCTATAGCAACCCTGGTGACCACTTCTGCTTGGTCCGTGTAGTATCATGTTTGGAACTTCTACCAAGTGCTCTGTAAATTCATGCAGAATACACAAGTGATACTTCTTTTTTTTGCATATAAACATAAGTTTTATTTTTAATCATTGAAAAGGTGTGATGACAGAGAGAAGGGAAAGGATGAAAGAGATTATCAATTTTCTTCTTCTGTTTTTTAAATAATTACATTTCATTTTGTGACACAGTTTCCTAGGCTCCGGGATTCCCCCAACCCCTCCCCGTGCCCTCCCCCCATGGTGGATTCCTCCACCTTGTTGCAGTATGACAGTTCAAATTCAGTTCAAGATTCTTTCCACAAATGATATTTCTACCATGGCCGATATATTTCTTAACTGCGTAGGATAACTGGTATGGTTTGAAAAGGCTATGGCTTCCTTCCTCATGCAAAAGGTCGAATCCTGAGGCACTCTGGACCTTTAATCCAACTACGGCATTCAGAAGATGAGTCTTAATAGGGCGTCCTATGGTCATTGCGGACGGGTTTGGGCTGGTATGTCTTCAGAAGGAAGCTTTCAAAAAGTAGGTAAAAAGGCCCACTGGGCTCTCTCTTGCTCGCGCTCACGCTGGACCTCAGCCAAAAGGCTGAACTCCTACTGTTCTTCCAAACAAGCTCTTCCATTACCCTCCCCCCGCCCCATGGGTCCAGACTGATGATTCCGGACCGCGAATCTGCCAAAACACAAGGAAAAAATTACCTCAAATCCTGAAAACCAACCCTTGTCTCATCGTAGATAGCTTCTTTTCAGTATTTAATTGTAACAGTGAAAAGCTAATAATACAGTACCAACACGAGTCAACAAGCACCCACTCACCTAGCCGCCTGATCTCTGAGCCAGATGCAGCATCGAGCTGCTGATCACAGCCCCACGTTTCAGTGCGTCCCAGGCACCGAGCCTGCAGCTAGCACTGCGACTTCTTTCCCTCAGACCTCACCAGTCAGTCCGCTCAGGTATATTCAAACCACTCTGCAATTCACAGAGGCGTTGGGGATATTTGAGATTTCTTCCAAGTTTTAAGCCGAACTTTTTGCTTTTTGTCTTTGCTACGGACCCCTTCCCCAAGAGGAACAAGATCCTGGGGAAGAGAAGGAACGGGGTTGGAGAAGACACTCCGGGATCTGAACTGGGGAAACCTGTTCCCTTCCCGCAGAGCAGAAAGGCCTGAGGTGGGGAGGTGGGAGGAGGTTGGAAGCCGAGGACCCCACGTGATCTCAGGGGCCCGGGGCTGTGCCGACCCCGCCCCTCCGCCCGCCGCCGCCGCCGGGGGGCGCATGCGCAGCCCCTGTTAGTGATGGAGGAGAGAAGATGGCGGAAGCGGAGTGAGTGACTTGCTGGTGACTGATGTCGTAGCCGGCGGGGCGAGTGAGGGTCGCGACACATCCCCCGGGGGGCAGCGCTCGGGGCTCTTTCGCGGCTAGTGAGGGGAGAAGGAGACCCGAGAGCCACCTTATGGTGGACGAGCCCGCTCGGCCCGTGTCGGGGGGCGGGGGCGAAGTGTGAGAGCCTGCAGTTCCCTTCCAGGCGGGAGAGCCCCTTCCGCTGTGGGCTCCCTCATCCGCGGGGTCACCCCTGGGACCCCAGCTGCTGGGGCCGTCCGGGGACCGGGTCCCTGGGGGCCCCCCGGGCGCTGTCATCGCTGCGCGCGGGCCCCGCGGGCCCCGGCCGAGGCTGGGCTGGGCAGGGCGGGCGCTGCCAGGCCTCCCGCCTTCTCCCCAGCTTCCCGCTCGGCGTCGGCGGGAGAAGCCGAGGCCCTGGCCTCCCGCGGCAGCCTTCCCCGCGCGGGCCCCCCGGCGTGTGCAAGCTGAGGTCATGCCGGCCCTGGGCTCTCCCTGAGGGGCACGTTCCCTAGCGGCGGGGCAACGGTGTGGCCAGCCAGCGACTCGGAAACTTACTGATGCCTGGGCAGGCCTCCGGGGGCACTGCCACTGTCCACCCCTGCCGCCTGTGGTCTGCAGGTGTGCCTCGACGGTGGAGTGAGCGAAATCGTTCTTTTGTGCCAGGCCTCGAGATGCACGGCGGTGGTGTGGCCAGTTCCACGCACCGAGGTTTAGACTTTAGCCTAGGATTTGGATTCTCTGTGACCATTTTTGGTTCGTACTAGGAACTGCTTGCCGCGGTATTTGGCTTCAGAATTTGGTTGAGCAGAACGTTGTAAAAGCATGGCTTTTTGCAGCTCGCTGGTACAGAAGTAGTGGGCCCGGCAGCAGTTTGCTAAAAAGTTTACGTTATCTACGACTAATTCTGAAGGGTGTTGATCAACTGCCAGGGATGTTACTGGAAGAAAATGCCAGAGCAGCATAACAATGTGTGAGCCATTTACTAACCCAAAGTTAGTAAGCAGTCAGCTTTTTTTTTTTCCTCCTGCATTTTTCCTTTTGTTTTTCCTCTTGCTAAATAGTTTTTTTTTTTCTTTCCACATTTGGGTTTCTCAGAACACATGTTGTTTGCATACATGCCATAGAACAAAGCATTTGTACATAAAAGGAATTTGTTGGGAATAGTGTATGGAATCACAATTAGCACCAGATTCTTTTCTTTCCTTTGCATAAACTAGAACGTGTTCTTGTTGTTTTCTTTTCAGTGCTGCTAGTGTGAGGGCGGTCAGATTTTGTTTGTCTTAAGGAAGATGAAACCAGTACTACTGACCCTTCAAAAGCAAGTGCAGTTCTAGCTTCTGTTAGTGTTGAGTGCTTGAGATTTTACTGAAAATGTTTGAATGTAGTTTCTGTACTTAGTGGAGTTTTGTGCCACAAGATTGTAAGGTTGGTGGGGAAACATGAGCAAGTCGGTGAGGCCTGTTAAGCCTCTTGTGGGTACACTTGGATTCCATATTGGAGTGCCACTTAAAATCCGTGCCTCTTCTGCTTGAGCTGAAGCTTCCTGCCCGTCTGCCTGGGAGGCCCAGAGAGGGCCAGCTGCGTGGATGCCTGCTGCCCTGTGGGGACCCCTGGGTGGAGTTCTTGGCATGGTGCAGCCCGGCTGTTGCAGTCATTGAGGGAGAAAAGCCAATGGAAACTCTGGGCTCTGCATTTCAAAGAAATAAATCTTAAAAAAAAAAAAGTACTTTACTGTCCACAATGAGGGAAGTGACATTATTATGATGTATTAAAATATAGAACAATTCCTCATGAAAAAGACGTTTTATAAGGGAGGTACAGAGTTGTTATCTGCTTTTCTGTTTCTCCAAAGTAACCTGGTTAGAAATAAAATTTAGTTATTAGAAGTTGGTAAGAACACTGTAGGCAAATTAGGGAGATAGTTCAATTAAAGACCTCTGAAAGGGAGAGAAAGAGAAAGAAAAAAGATCCTCCATTATTTCCTGATTTCCTGCAAAAGTCCCAGGAAGGGACTGGGCTGGCCACAGCCAGGAGCTGGGACTTCAACGACGGTCTTTTGTGCTAATGACAAGGACCCAGTGCTTGGGCCATTACCTGTTGCATCCCATGGAGTGTATCAGGAGGAAGCTGGAGTTGAGAGCAGAGCTGAAATTTGAACCCAGGCACTCTATTATGGGATGTAGATATCCCAAAATGTATCTCCATTGGTGCACCAAATGCGTGCCACTAAGGTTTTTTTTTTTTTATTAACTTGTTGAAAGATGTAGTATTTTATTGGAAAGACAGACTTACAGAGAGAGAGAGATCTTCCATCTGCTGGTTCACTCTGCAAGGGGTCCCAGTGGCTGAAACTGAGCTGATTTGAAGTCATGAGCTGCCTCTGGGTCTCCCACATAGGTACAAAGTCCCAAGGATTCCAGCTGTGCTTTACTACTTTACTGGGTCATAAACAGGGAGCTGAATGGGAAGTGGAGCAGTCAAGACATGAACTGGCACCCATATGAGATGTTGCAAGTTAGGTCATTGTACTAGTCCCTAATTAACTTATTTTTGAAGAGAAGTTTTCAGTAAGGATTTACTTTATTTGAGAGAGAGAGAGATTTTCCATGCTAAATGCCTCTAACAGCCGTGGCTAGGGCCCAGAGCTAGGTGCTGGAAGGTCTGTCATGTAGGTGGAAGGGCTGCAGCACCGCTTCATGATTCATTGCTTTCCCTCCCTGAGACTTGGGTGGGAGTGCAGCAAGGGGACTCAGAGCAGCACTTTGATATGGAGTGCCAGGCTGCAAGCAGCGGCTTAACCTGGGACACCTGCCCCTAAGAAAACTGTTCAGGGGCCCGGCAGCGTGGCCTAGCGGCTAAAGTTCTTGCCCTGAATGCACTGGGATCCCATATGGGCGCCGGTTCTAATCCTGGCAGCTCCGCTTCCCATCCAGCTCCCTGCTTGTGGCCTGGGAAAGCAGTCGAGGACGGCCCAAAGCTTTGGGACCCTGCACCTGTGTGCAATACCAGGAAGAAGTTCCTGTCTCCTGGCTTCGGATTGGCATAGCTTCAGACGTTGAGCTTACTTGGGGAGTGAATCATCGGACGGAAGATTTTCCTCTCTGTCTCTCCTCCTCTCTGTATATCTGACTTTGTAGTAAGAATAAATAAATCTAAAAAAAAAAAAAGTTATTCATCTCCCACCAAGTTGGAGGCAGTAAAAGGTACAGAGATCCTCCATGTCCTAGTTACCTCCTTGGATGGCTGCAATGGCTAGCGCTGGGCTAGAGTGAAGCCAGGAGCTTCTCCTGGATCCCCACGTGGACGGTAGGGGCCCAGACTGGGGCCTTAATAGTAAGTAGAATTGGAAGTGGTTATGAAGCACAGTACCCCATGTCGGGATGCCAGTATTGCAGGTGGAGACTTTGGTATGCTAGCCCTGACCTTCACTGATTTTTTTTTTTTAAGATTTATTTAGTTATTTTTATTAGAGAGGCAGATGTACAGAGAGGAGAGACAGAGGGAACGATCTTCTGTCCGCTGGTTCACTCTGCAAATGGTCTCAGTCGCCAGAGCTGAGCCAACCTGAAGCCAGCAGTCTCTTACTAGTCTCACATGTGGGTACAGGATCCTAAGGGCAACCTCTGCTGCCTTTTCAGGCCATAAGCAGGGAGCTGGATGGAAAATGGAGGAGCCGCAACATAAATTGGAGTCCCTATGGGATGTTGGCACTTGTAGGTGGAAGATTAGCCTGTTGAGCCATCACGCTCCAACCCTCCCCCACCCCATCTTCCTTGTTTCCCTTCCCTTCCCTCCCTCCTCCCTTCCTTCCTCCTCCCTCCCTCCTCCCTCCCCCCCTCCCCTCCCCTCCCCTCCCCTCCCCTCCCCTCCCCTCCCCTCCCCTCCCCTCTTTCTGTCTTTCTTTTTCTTTTCTTTTAAGGTTTATTTCTTTTAATTGGAAAGACCGATCTACAGAGAAGAGGAGACAGAAAGATCTTCCATCCACTGCTTCACTCCCCAAGTGACTACAATGGCGGGAGCTGAGCTGATCAAAAGCCAGGAGCCAGGAGCTTCCTCTGGGTTTCCCACCTGGGAGCAGTGTCCCAGTACTTTGGGCCATCCTCTGCTGCTTTCCCAGGCCACAAAGAGGGAGCTGGAAGGAAAGTGGAGCAGCTGGAATATGAACTGTCATTCATCTGGGATCTTGGGCTTGCAAGGCGAGGATTTAGCCACTAGGCTGTTGTGCCGGGCCCTCTTGTTTCAATAATACAAACTTTAGGCTAGGATTTATCAAGTTATATTGTCATTTGAGTTTAATGTAAAGGTTTTCACTATTGTGTTTGGATTAGGTGTGAAGTGTTTTTCCCTAGCCCATGGGAATGGTGACTGCGCTAGCTTTATATTACAAGGGTCTTCCTAGAAATCTAGACCATTGCTGATTAGTTCCTTGGAACAAATATTCTTCAAGGTTCATGACATAATGCATTTATCAACACGAACGCTTTGTGTTATCTGCCAGATTTAAGGACCACAGTACAGCTATGGATAGTGAACCAAACCCTGGGACATCTTCTGTGTCGACAACAACCAGTAGCACCACCACCACCACCATCACCACTTCTTCCTCTCGGATGCAGCAGCCACAGATCTCTGTCTACAGCGGTTCAGACCGACATGCCGTACAGGTACTTTTGGCCATGAGTACCAAGATGTGTAGGCTAAGAGCTAGGATGATGAGCATTTATTGCTTAATAGCTTCAAGTGTACAGTTAGAAAGTTGAGTTTTTGAAACAACCGACAGTTATTTACCAGTCATATCCCTGAGAGGGTTGTCAGCTTGTAGCTTTTTCTGTGTGCCAGGAACATTGTAACTGGAGGTCTCGGTGTTGCTGCTGTGATGTGAAGGCATCCAGACTAAGCCCTAACACATAGAACCGCGGCTCTAGGTTTTTCTGGATTGTTGCATATTTGATTCTAAAGTGTGGTTTAGGGAGATCTGTTGAGGTCTGGAGAGATGTTAAGCAGGTCCCCGTAAGCCCAGCTGGCCTCAAAACCCTAAGCGGGAGGATCCATTTTCTGAAACTCTTGGTGACGAAGGGGGAAAGAAATATTTAGAAAAAGTGTCAGTTCACTTAGTTGTCTTGGTCTTTATAGTAAAGGCGTTTGAAGCAGTATTGTATTTTCTTGTGTAAAATGGGCACAGACATTGAAGCCCGAGATCTTTGAATTCCCTTTTTGTTAGCAGCGGTAGTGGAGCTTTAGATGAGCGTTAGAGTCTTGAGGTTCAGGAAAGTGTAAAATGAGGATGGCACTGCTGCTTCATTAGTGATTGACGGTTACACGAGCATCCAGAACTGTGTGGTCGCATTCCAGCTGTCTCCTAAAAAATGCCTAATGCTGAATGAATGTTTGTTATGTGCCTGGCCTTTTATACATGCTTTATTGGGTTATTTCACTTAATTCAAATAATATGTATATATGAAGTAGGTACTCTTACCTTCATTTTATAGATGGGTAAAACAACGTTTTACATTTATTTTTTAAAAGGATTTATTTGTTTCCAGTGAAAGGCAGATTTACAAAAAGAAGGAGAAACAGAGAGCAAGATTTTCCGTTTGCTGGTTCGTTCCCCAAATGGACGCCAGGTCCGACGCTGAGCCCATCTGAAGCCGGGAGCTTCCTCTGGGTCTCACATGAGTGTAGGGTCCCAAGGCTTTGGTCTGTCCTCTGGTGCTCTCCCAGGCCACAAGCAGGAAGCTGAGTGAGAAGTGCAGCAGCTGGGACATGGACCAGTGCCCATGTGGGAACTCAGCATTTGCAAGGGGGAGGATTGCTAATTGAGTCATCATGCTGGGCCCTAAATTTATGTATTTAATTTGAAAGCTAGAGAGAGAGGGCCGGGCGCGGTAGCATAGTGACTAGAGTTCTCACCTTGCATGTGCCAGGATCCCATGTGGTTGTCGGTTCTCGTCAAGGAGGTCCCGCTTCCCATCTAGCTTCCTGCTGGTGGTTTGAGAAAACAACTGAGTTAGCCCAAAGCCTTGGGACCCTGCACTTGCATGGGAGACCTGGAAGAAGCTCCTGGCTCCTGGCTTTGGATCGGCTCACCTCCATCCTTTGTGGCCACTTGGGGAGTGAATCAGCAGACTGAAGAGCTTCCTCTCTGTCTCTTCTATTTCTGTATCTGGCTTTCCATTAAAAATAAATAATAAAAAAAAAAACTTTTTTTTTTTTTCATTGCGAAGGCAGATAGAGAGGAGGAGAGGCAGAGAGGAAGATCTTCCATCCAACTATTCACTCCCCAAGTGACTGCAATGGCCAGTACTGTGCCGATCCGAAGCCAGGAGCCCAGATCCTCCTCGGGGCCTCCCACGCAGGTGCAGGAACCAACACTTTGGGCCGTCCTTGACTGCTTTCCCAGGCCACAGCAGGGAGCTGGATTGAAGTGGAGCTGCTGGGATTAAAACCTGTGCCCATATGGGATCCAGGCGCGTTGAAGGCAAGGACTTTAACTGCTATACCACGGCACCGGGCCCCAAAATCAATAAGTCTTTAAAAAAAAGAAAGAGAAAGAGAGAAATCTTTTCCGTTATCTTGTTCATGTTTTTTTTTTTTTTTATTTCTTTTTATTGGTAAGTCAAGATTTACAGAGAGAAGGAGAGACAAGGAGAAAGATCTTCCATCTGCTGGTTTACTCACAAGTTGCTGCAATGGCCGTAGCTGAGCCGATCCAGATCCAGAGCCAGGAACTTCTTTTGGGTCTTCTGTGTGGGTGGCAGGGTCCCAAGGGTTTGGGTTGTCCCCTACTGCTTTCCCAGCCACAAGCAGGGAGCTGAATGAGAAGTAGAGCAGCTGGGATATGAACTGGTGCCTATATGAAATCCTGATGCATGCAAGGTGTGGACTTAGGCTGCTAGGCTACTGCACTGGGCCCCTGGTTTGTTCTTTAGATGCCCACAACAGCCATGGGTGGAGTTGGCCAACCAGGAGCCCAGAGCCGAGTCTCTGTCTCCCACACAAGTGGTAGAAGCTCGGCTTCTTGAGGCAATGCCTGCTATCTTCCAGAGTACGTGTTGACTGGAAGCTGAATCAGGACTGGAGTCAGGACTTGAACACAGTGGAATGTGAGCTTGTCAACCGTGATTAACATCTGCCCCTGGAAAAGAAGTGGTTTTTTTTTTATTTTTAAGATTTATTTTATTTTTATTGGAAAGGCGGATATACAGAGAGGAGAGACAGAGAGGAAGCTCTTCCATCCGATGATTCACTCCCCAAGTGAGCGCAGCCGATGCTATGCCGATCTGAAGCCAGGAGCCTCTTCCGGGTCTCCCACGCGGGTCCCAAAGCTTTGGGCCGTCCTTGACTGCTTTCCCGGGCCACAGGCAGGGAGCTGGAAGGGAAGCGGGCCGCCGGGATTAGAACCGGCGCCCATATGGGATCCCGGGCGTGCAAGGCGAGGACCTTAACCACTGTGCCATCGCGCCGGGCCCAGAAGTGTTTTGTTTATTTTTTAAAAAAGATATGTTTATTTGAAAGGGTGAGTGAGAGAGAGAACGAGATCTTGCATTTGCTGTTTCACTGTCCCAGTGCTTGTGACGGTTGAGGCTGTGCCAGGCTGAGGATGGAGCCAGGAATGCTGATCTTTGGGTGGCAGAGGGGCACTTCTGCTCTGAGGAGCTGGATTGGAAATGCTGCAGTCAGCACGCAAATTGGTGTTCTGCCTTGGAATGCTGGAGTCGCGGGTGGTTAACTTGCTGTGCCGTCACGCTGGCCCCCAAACTGAAGTCTTAAATATAGCCTAAGTAGCTTTCCAGACTCAAAAATGCCTGGCAGGTTTTTGAGTTCAGAGTTTGAGCTTTAACTGTTGAGGAAGTTCTTGTTTTTTAGATCACCTTGCTGTCTCTAGAATTTTGTTTTTGTTTTTTTTTTAGAATCTTGATTATTGCAGTCTACCCTGAAAACAGTTGTTTACAATTTAGTCCTCCCTCTGTCCGCATGTGTCTGCTGTGGATATCCTAATATAATGACTACTATTCTGTTTTTTTTTTTTTTAATATATTTATTTATTGGAAAGTCAGATACACAGAGGGGAGGAGAGACAGAGAGGAAGATCTTCCGTCTGATGATTCACTCCCCAAGTGAGCACAATGGCTGATGCTATGCTGATCTAAAGCCAGGATCCAGGAACTTCTTCCTGGTATCCCACATGGGTGCAGGGTCCCACAGCTTTGGGCCGTCCTCGACTGCTTTCCCAGGCCACAAGCATGGAGCTGGAAGGGAAGCGGGGCTGCCGGGATTAGAACCGGCGCCCATATGGGATCCCAGTGCGTTCAAGGCAAGGACTTTAGTCACTAGGCCACGCTGCCGGGCCCCATACTACTTATCTCTTATGTGGTTTAGGACTTGATTTGCTGAAAGCACTGTGAAGTGAGAACTATTGGCCACTGAAGGATGGAATGTAGAGTGTGCTTTGATGTTCTTCACTTTTCTCAGAGGCAGGAAGGGTAGAAAAGACTTATATAGATCTTTGAGCAGAGAGATAAAGTTATATTTTAATATGTGCTTATTCTCTAATTTTCACTTAATCTGAATGTCCTAATTTAAAAAAAAATCAAATTTTAATGGATCTAGGATGCAAGTCTGTCATGGATAGCATTGATTCGAGTTCTTATGCCATTAGTTATTTCTTCTACAATGGAATCAGATCAGTGCTTATTGAAATACTTAAGTAATTCTTTAACTTTCCAGCTTTCCTTTGATAGTCCTTGTCAGTTCGCCAGACTGCCTCCCCATCATGCAGGACAGAGAGCGATGCGCTGTGCTGTTAGCTTGTATTTACCCTGCTGTGTGCTTGCCTTGAATGTTAATGGAGGACTGTGCAGAGAACAGAAAAAGTTAACTAATACCCTTCGACAGCAATGTGTCAAGTTTATTTTAGTTTGATTTTGTATTTTGGGATGGAACTAGAAGGTCATATATAGATTTATCTGACCAGAAAAGGAATGTTGTAATAGTAAATCACTTACTGCTGACCTCTAGTCCCCAGCAACTAGACATTAGAAACCCACAGTGCTTTTGTGACAGGCCTTCGTTGTATGGAGAACAGTCTAGGTACCAATGCAGGAAAGTGAGCTGTGACATGGGGCAGTATTTCTTAAAGTCTGAGTGAGGGATTCCTGACATTTTGGCTCTGCATGTCCTGACTGAAGCCCAAGCTGTAGTTTTATGTCTGTTACTCTGTGCTCTTTGCAGTCTGTGGTTCAAGGCTGAGGTTGGAGTTCTGTGCTATTTCAAGGTCACAGTGGGCATGTAACTTTGGGTTGTGGTTGCCAAGTGTTGGAATAATCTGGCATTTGGACTGACACAGGATTTTCCTCTGGTCTTAATAGGATGCTTTTCTACATAGATTAAGTTGCAGGCTCAGATCTAACTAAATATTGCAATTAACATGTGCAGAAATTAAAAGGATCTGTATTTGGAAAGAATTTTGAGAGAGACAGATAGCCCTTCTATCTGGTGGTTTACTCATCAGATGGCTACAAAGACTAGGGCTGGGCCAAGTCAGAACCAGGAGCTTCTTTGAGGTTTCCCATGAGGGTGGCAGGAACCTGAGCACTTGGACCATCTTCTGGTGCTTTTCCTAAGTGGCTTGGCAGATTGCTGCATTGAAAGTAGAGCTGCTGGAACACACATGGGCCATCGCCCATATGGGATGCTGGTGTCCTAGGTAGTGGCTTCATTTACTATTCCACAATAGTGACCTCTAAATTTTTTTTTAAGATTGACTGAAAAAAAATGGTTTTATATGTTGAAACAATTAAAGCAAAGAATCTGAGATTTTAAAAGCATTAAAAGGGCCTGACACGATTGCTCAGTAGCTAAATCCTTACCTTGCATGTGCTGGGATCACATATTTGCACTGGTTCATGTCCCAGCTGCTCCACTTCCCATCCAGCTCCCTGCTTGTGGTTGGGAAAGCAGCAGAGGCCCAGTGCCTTGGGACTTTGCACCCTGCGTAAGAGACACGGAAGAAGTTCCTGGCTCCTGGCTTTGGATCAGCTCAGCTCTGGCCCTTGCAGCCACTTGGGGAGTAAACCAGTAGATGAAAGATCTTTCTCTCTCTCTCTTTCTCTCTCTCTCTCTTCTGCTCTGTAAATCTGCATTTGCAATAAACAAAACAAAATAAATCCTTCAAAAATAACCAGATTGAGTGATTTTCTTTTTGATGATTTACTTTATTTTTATTGGAAAGTCAGATATGTAGAGAGGAGGAGAGACAAAGAGGAAGCTCTTCCATCTGATGATTCACTCTCCAGGTGGCTGTAAAGGCCGGAGCTGAGCTGATCTGAAGCAGGAGCTTCTACTGGGTCTCCCACATGGATGAGGGTCCCAAGGGTTTGGGCTGTCCTTGACTGCTTTCCCAGGCCACAAACAGGGAACTGGATGGGAAGCGGGGCTGCCAGGACACGAACCAGTTCCCCTACGGGATCACTGTGTGTTCAATTCTAGGGCTTTAGTCGCTAGGCTACTGCGCTGGACCCAAATAATCTTTTTGTTTGTTTGTTTTTGTGTTTTGGGCCCAAGTAATTTTCTGAAAGAACTTTATTTTATGATTGCTATACCTACTCATTTTAAGATTTCACATATTTATAGAAAAGTATAAGCTAGAAGCTAAAAGTCATCTCTAATCTAGTTCTGTGAGTAGATTTTGAATGTCTTTCTGAATATTGTTTCAAATATTTAAAATGAAAATGGTGTCCTATTCTTTAAACTATTTAGTATACTGAGTTTTTCAACCTACTACATATGCACTTGGGAATGTTTTCTAAATAAATACGTGCGTATTGCGTGATAAAGTAGCTGTTACATACATATGATTGCTTACACTTAAAATTCAATTTAAAATTTAAACCCTGGCTAGCATTGGGTTTCAAAAGGCTAGACTCCCACTTACAATGCTAGCATCACATAGTGGAGAACTGGTTTGGGGGCCAGGCACTCTGCTTCCAATCCAGCTTGCTGCTAGCGCTCCTGGGAAGGTAGCAGAAATGATGCAGGTTTGGTCCGCTTCCACACTGTTATAGGAAACTCAGGTGGACTTTATGGCGTCAGCCTGACCCAGGCTTGGCGTTGCAGTGATTGGGAAATGATCCAACAAGCTGAAGATATTCTTCTTCCCTCTCTCTGTTCCCACCTCTCCATCTGTCTCTTCCTGCCCTTTCTCCCTTCTCTCCTATTTCTATTCATCTGCATTTCAAGTAAGTAAATAAATGTGTTAAAAATTAAGTTAAAAACTCATTTCCTTAGCTGCAGTGGCCACATTTTACATGCTTAATAGAAGCTAGAGGCTAGTGGCTTCAGTTTTGGAGGGCACTGATCTGTGTAACTGTAGTGAATGCATAGTAGAAGTATTCTCCAAAATGTTTTTTCTTTTTAATGATTTAATTTTATTTTTGTTACAAAGTCAGATATACAGAGAGGAGGAGAGACAGAGAGGAAGATCTTCCGTCCGATGATTCATTCCCCAAGTGACGGCCACAGCCAGTGCTGCGCTGATCCGAAGTCAGGAGCCAGGAGCGTCTTCTGGGTCTCCCACACAGGTGCAGGGTCCCAAGGCTTTCGGCCATCCTCGACTGCTTTCCCTGGCCACAAGCAGGGAGCTGAATGGGAAGTGGAGCTGCCGGGATTAGAACCGGTGCCCATATGGCATCCCGGCGTGTTCAAGGTGAGGACTTTAGCTGCTTGCCACGGTTCCGGGCCCTCCAAAATGTTTTTCAAGCAGGTGTACCAACTTAAATTCATAGTACCAGAGATACTTATTTCCCAGTAATTAGTGGTAGTGTTTTAAAAATGTGTCTATCTGAAACAAAGTAGTATGGTTGTGTTAGGTTGTAATTTTTAAGATTGATTAGTTTATTGGAAAGGCATATTTACAGAGAGGAAAGATAGACAAAGATCTTCTGTCGGCTGGTTCACTCTCCAAATGACCGCAACTGCTGGAGCTGAGACCATCTGAAGCCAGGAGCTTCCTCCAGGTCTCCCGTGCAGGTACACGATCCCAGGACTTTGGGCTGTCCTCTACTGCTTTCCCAGCCATAAGCAGGGAGCTGGATGGGAAGTGAAACAGCCAGGAATGAATTCCACCCATATGGGATCCCTGGTATGGAGTGTGAGGATTTAGCCACTGAGCTATTGCACTGGGCTTCTTTCATTTTGTAAGGATTTATTTATTTTTATTGGAAAGAGAGTTTTACAGACAGAAATAGAGACAGAGAGAAAGATTTTCCGCCTGTTGGTTTACTTCCCAAGTGGCCATAATGGCCAGAGCTGAGCCAGTCTGGAGCCAGAAGCTTCTTCTGGGTGCATGCAGAGTCCTAAGGCTTTGGACTATCCTCTACTGCTTTCCAAACCACAAGGAGGGAGCTGGATGGGAAGGGGAGCAGCTGGGACACGACCTGATGCCAAGATGGGATGCTGGTATCTGCAAGGCCAGGATTTAGCCACTGAGTCATCACGCTGGGTCTTTGATTTATAACTTTTTGACTGCTAGTGAGTTCGAATTTGCTTTTGTTTTGGTGCATTGTGTCTGCTGGTAAAGTGGAGTCTGATGGTACATAGCCAGAAGAGGAATTTGTTAGTAAGCTCGATAACTTTAAATACTGAAGTAGTGAAGCTTTAAACTATGGTTTTTAAAAATGCTTTCAATTTAAGCTGAACTTGAATTTGGTTTGATGTGGGTTTATTTGACTTATCACAGGTAATTCAACAGGCCTTGCATCGTCCCTCCAGCTCTGCGGCTCAGTACCTGCAGCAAATGTACGCCGCCCAGCAGCAGCACTTGATGCTGCACACCGCGGCTCTGCAGCAGCAGCACTTGAGCAGCTCGCAGCTGCAGAGCCTGGCTGCTGTTCAGGTGAGTCCCAGCGTGTGCGGCAGCAGCGGGGAGCTAGTGAGAAGTAATGATCCAGCACTCTTTCAGAGTTCTCACATTTTCTGAGATGATTTCTCCCAAAGAAAATATATGATTGGGTTGTCAAAGTTAATTGGGAAAATGAAGATGGTTGGTGTTTGTTTTATATAAATTGGAGAAATGCTAGGCTTGTGACATAGGTTGTAGATCTAATTCTATGTCTAACAATAACTACTTAGGGTTGTATGAATTATTTTTCTGATAAACTTCTATTAAATAAAAATATAAATATAAATAATATAGTTAAAAAATTAAATGTACAAAATAAAATTATAAAATAAAATTTTATAAACAAGCGTTACATCTTATGAATGTAAGTAATACATACTTTTTCTAATATACATTTAAATTATATTTCTGTTAAATGTTTCTGCTAAATTTCAGTTAAATTCTAGTGGTAACAATGAATCTTAGGGTTATATGGATTTTATTTTAACCAAAAAATGAATTTTTTTGATAAGTAATTTACACCTTTTATTTAAAAGCACAAGACAGTGGTGTTCTTTGCATAGCCGTAATTCCTACTCTGCAGAGTTGCGTGATGGGGCAATCTTTATCCCTCTAGAAATATTTCATAAAAAATGTATATGTGCATCTTTCTGAAATATAATCATCCCAACTGATAACATGTTTGTTTTAAAGAGGTTTTCATTATTTTTGCTATTTTTTTTAAACAAAATTCTGGGTGAGATTTAATCTTAAATCTTCTCAATAGTGGAGGATCTCGGTTGACGGAACCTGAGAAGGGTTTATTTTGGTTACTGCTGCTACATCTCAGTAGCGTAGTTTTTAAAAAACATCACGGAGGAAACTCAAAACCTCCAGCTCTTGTGGTTGTCCCAGTGTCTTTGTGTTAGTGTTGGAGAGATGATTGCATTTAGAGGACTGCCTCAAAGCCCTGTGGCATAAGCCTGAGTGCTGCGAATAAAATGAGGTTAGCCATTCGAGTTCCTTGTTTTCATCATTTAGCTTTTTGTTTTCTTTATAGAAGTGTTTCCAACTCTTAAGCCCTGGTGACCATTAAATGACTTATTTTATAGGTACACTTTCCAGGATTTGGGCTTGTCTTTGCTGTTATGTTTGTTCAGGGACGCTTGTAAGTTCAAGTTTTATAGACATATTGTAAAGGTCTTACTGTTTTAGGCAAGTTTGTCCAGTGGAAGACCACCTACATCCCCCACAGGGAGTGTCACGCAGCAGTCCAGTATGTCCCAGACATCTGTAAGTATCTTGCTTTTTTTTCCCCCTAGAATAAAAAGTTTTAATTTCTGTCTTTCAGAAGTAAATTGTTTATAGTTATAAAGCTGTTACTATGTTTTTGTTGCATGCAAATAAACTAAATGCCGAAGAACAAAAATGGTGTGAAGAATTTGAGAGTTAGTGTTCAACTTCTGAAAATCTGAAATTAAAAAATCTATTTTTAGGTGTCCTTTCCCCAGATTTTGTTCAGCTCTTGCTTGCTTCTGAATGACTTCAACTTTGAGTGTGTATTCAAAGTCTGAAATATGTGATGCTAAGATGCTGGCTATGCATTCTCTGTGATACAGAGCAGTGTGTCACAATTGTGTGTCTGTAACTGTGCATTTCACGTTTAGGAGATTACACTGTTTAGTTTATATGAATTATTTCAGTCAAATGTGCAAGTATCCGTTCAGGGTAGAGTGATTTATGTTGAGACACGAGTAAGAGAAAGCTCTTTTTTTAATTGTACATTTTGTACATACTGGGAAAGTATAGAAAGTTCCTTGGTAAAACTTACAGGCATAGTGATTATATATTAAAAGGAATAATATTACATTTTCTTTCTTTATTTCAGGTGAGTTACTTCTTTAGCGAGTTGACTGGCAGTATGAATTATAATGCCCAAGGTAGCTAAGTAAATTTAGTTCAGTATTTAAAAAAGAAGGTAGAGCACGGTCGTGGAAATCTGTTGACAGTGACAATAACGATCCATCAGGTGGCTGTTCTAATAGTTTTGAGTGTGAGTTATTTGGAAGTAGATTTCCAGATAACCGTGAAGCCACAGTGAGGAGTTTGGTCTCTCAGATAAAAAAAGGATTGCAGTGGGCTGTCAAGTAACCAGCTAGACAGGCTGAGGTTTTGGAGAGCAGACTTCGTGTGAACGTGGCATATTATTAAAAAAACTGAATTGAGAACCATGCAACCTGAGGGAACTAGGAATCTGATTTGGGAGAAGACACTGTTAAATGAATCTACAGGGAGCTAGCCACTCTTTTTCCCCTGGTTAGAACAGGATGACTGATTCTAGATTATTCTCAGCAGTAAGATCGGAGATTTTGTGATGGTTGGGCTCTTTAAGTAATTAGAATGAAAGGTTTAGGTTGATGTCTTCAGTGCTTCAACTGAATGGGGCTGACATTTATTTACATGTGATTTTTTTTTTTCCTGCAAGGAGTTTATTGGGTAGCATGGGGGCTCAGTGCCCTCTACCCCCGCCGCCGGGGGAGCTCCAGGCAGGACATGGGATGGCCATGGCTGGGGGCACGCACCTCTGGAGAAGTGACCACCACCGGGCAGGTGGTCACTTCTCCAGAGGTGCGTGCGTAGTTGAGCAGTAAGCAAGGTCAGGCCCACGTGGGACGGCAGCAGGTGGCGGCAGCAGTAGCGCATGGCTTCCGGACGTGCCCCTCGGTGTACTCGGCTTACAGCAACCACAGGCAGGCCTCTACCTCTCCCACTTGTTGCCCACGAGCTTGCTGCGTGTGAAGCAGTGCACGGGGATGATCATGGCGGTGCTCTGAGTGGTTTCTTTTTTTAAAGTTATTTTTGATGATGTTTACATAGTTGATTAGGATAGGAAGGGTTGAGGATTAGGGAAATGAGACCATTGTTCCCAAATCTTCTGTTTCTTCCTTCTTGTATCTGGGAGAAGGGGGAGAGATTGTGTATCTTCCATCTCTTGGCTCATTCCTCAAATTCCTGTCACTTCCGGGGCTGGTTCAGGCCAAGACCAGGATCCCGAAATTCCAGCTGGGTTTCACATGTGGGATGGCAGGGACCCAACTAGTTGAGTCCCTTACCTGTTGCCTCCTGTTAGCAGGAAGCTGGAATCAGAAGTGGATCTCGGACTTCAGCCCGGCATTGCAGTACAAAACCTGGGCGTCTAAGCAGAGCCTTAGCTGCTAGCCTGGATGCCCACTCATCTGCTCTTTTCTTAGTGAACTTGAGGGCCTGTTTAGCTTCAGAGACCTTGTGCAGCTCTGTGGCACATTACTTGTGGGCAAAGCCATACACTTTTTTTAAGTTAGAACATGCCTGTCCTCTGGTTCGTTCTCCAAATGTCACACTGCAGGGGTTGGGCCAGGGCTAGGGCTAGGACTAGGAATTCAATCTCTGTCTCTTTTACGAGTAACAGGAACTGAATTTCTTGAGCCCTCACCACTGGTTTCCAGGGTCTGCATATTCACACATGTTTTGGATGTGGTCTTGCACTAACGTTGTATGCTTGATGGGGTTATTTCCTTTCCCACGCAGGTTTCTTTGTGCCCGAGTGCCTACTGAGCTTCAGCCTGCACACATTCTGAGTTGCTCTTGCGGCTCGCGGGTATGGGTAGCTCAGATGCATGTCTGCTGCTCCCCGGGGACTGCTGTGGTGGAAGTTTTTTGAGGTTGTCTTATATTTTTTATATGTGATGTGCAAGGTTTGTAGTTGTACTTAGTGGGAAGAAAAGGAAGAAAAATATTCTGAGAAGAGAATTCCTGTCATTTAGCTTATTTTAAAAAAATCGTATGTGCCTATCTGTGTAGGCAGAAAATCCGTGATATATTCAGAAATCTTTAAGGAAGGACGCTGAGGAGCTTTGTTTTGTTAATTTTTGTATTGCCTAAATAAAATGTGAGTTCCCTACAGTGCAAATATCCCTTTTTAGTCTTCATTCACCCTAAGTTATTTGTGAAACTTTCCTAGCTTATTACTGTGTATTTCTGAGTATCAATGTAGATAGATAGACCTGTCATTGATTTGGTTTCAGCATAAGCCAAGTGCCATTGTAGTCATATATATCTTCCAGGTGTCTGGTAAGGTTTTTGTTGCTGGAACTTACAGTTGTTTCTCTAAGTGACTCATGAGCTGCTTTTAACTTTTGTTGCTTTTTGGCCCTAGAATGTGCATTTTGACTTTAATTTACTATTTCATCATGAAGGGAAAAGACATGTTTTTGTTAGCTTCCTAATAATGGTCTTAGACACAATGAGCTGTGAAAGTCATTTTTATGCCTTCATTAATTTATATTGATCCATCACACCTGCCCCTCAACATTTATTTTTATTTTTATAAACTTTTATAAACTTACCAACAACAAGAAAATATAAAAAGAGTGTTAGGGCCTTTTGAGCTCCTTTCATCCTCACTCCTCCATCCCCTCCATTTGCTGTCCGCCCTTTAAGCTGTTCTCCTGGGGCTGGCATGGTGACACAGCTTTTAAGCAATCACCTGTGATACCAGTCTCACATGTGGGAACTTATTTGCATCCCAGCTTTTTGATTTGTGATTCATTAGCTCCCTGGATATGAATCTGGTAAAGCAGTGAAAGTTGTCCCCAGTCTTTTAGCCCCTGATACCTATAGGAGACCTGGCTGGATTTCCTGGATCCTGGTCCAAGCTGGCCATTTGGGTAATGAACTAGCAGATAAAGATATTTCTCTCATCCTCCCCTTCCATAATTCTGCCTTTTAAATAAAAACAATTTTTTTTAAGATTTATGTTTCATTTTAATTGGAAAATCAGATATACACAGAGAAGAGACAGAGAGGAAGATCCTCCATCTGTTGATTCAGCCCCAAACAGCTGCAATGTCTGGAACTGCACTGCTCTGAAGTCAGGAGCCAGGAGCTCTTCTGGGTCTCCCATATAGGTGCAGGGTCTTAAGGCTTTGGACCGTCCTCGACTGCTTTACCAGGCCTGAATCAGGGGATGGGAAGCAGGGCTGCCAGGATTAGAATCAGCACCCATGTGGGATACTGGCATGTGTGAGGTGAGGATTTTAGCTGCTAGGCCACCTCCCGCACCAGGCCTGAATAAAACCTTTAAAAGACATTTACTAGGATCTTTCTAGCACCCTTTGTTATGTAGTCCTCTGTCTCCTCTCTTTGCTGTGTTTTGAGGACATAAATGTCATAATGAGATATGTGTATCAGTTTGGTTTTTTCCTTTTTACACATTGAAAAAGAGTGATTGATATTTTGCACTTTATGCTTTATCACTTAGTTGTGTGTCTTGAGATCTTTCTGTGTTAGCACACAAAGATTGATGCTGCTGTGTAGTACTGCTAAGTATGGGTGGACTTTATACACATCCCTTTTGCTAGACATTCAAAAGTTTCTAACGGTTTGACTCTTTCTTTTTGTTTGTTTGTTTCTTTCTCTTCCTCTCTCCCTGTTTTTTTAAAAATTATTTTATTTTAATAATCTTTACATAGTTGATTAGAGCACAAAGAGTCAGTAGCTACAGAAAAGTGGTTAAGACCATTGTTTCTACATTATTTTATTTTTTTTATTTTTTAAATTTTATAATCTTAGTTTATTAGGGTACAAAGGGTCAAGGGCTACAGGGTAAAAGTGGGTAATATCATTGTTTCCACACTATTATAATCATTTTGCCCTGTATCTGGGGTTAGGGGAGTAACAAAGGGAAAAGCCCCACCCTACCTCCCACCCATCCCCGATCCCCAACATGAGGCGCTCTCCAAGGGTCCTGCTCAAACAGTTTTGATAGTTCATCAGTTCTGGATTGCTGCCAATCTCACCGTCTCAACTGCAATGAAACCTATTCAGAGTCCACTGGCTGACAGCTCTTGATGGTTGGGGTTCCAAGATCAGCAGTTCAGTTGGAGAGATATCCAAAGAAACTTCATCTGAGTTGATCCCAGATCTGATTCTTGAGTGAGTTTGCTAGTACAGACTCCAGCACCGCTTGTCACTCCAATCAGCTTATGCATATGCTGGTTTTGCGATTGCTGGATCTGTCTGGATTCCAGCCCTGTCTTCCTTGTGAACCAATGGGTGTTGTAGTCCAGCTCGATCCTTCCCACTTCATACTCGGTCTTCATGCAAACCGGTTGGAGCTGCAGCCTAGTTGGGGCGACTCCCCAAAACCCCTACCAGTTCTGCCCCCTACCCTGGTTCCTATGCTTGCCAGTATGTACCGCAGGCTTGTCCAGTCTGTCCCACATCCCATTTAGCTCTCGTATATGTCAATGGGC